GGCATGGTGGTGTGTGCCTGTAGTCCCAGCTACTTGGGAGGTTGAGGTGGGAGGATCACTTGAGCTCAGGAGGTCAAGGCTGCAGTGAGTCATGAACACACCACTGCACTCCAGCCTGGGTAACAGAGTGAGACCCTGCCCCAAACAAACAAACAAACACTGGTGCTCACTGAACACTGACAAAAAATGTAAGAGTAAATTTAACCAAGAAGTTGAAAGATCTGTAAACTGAAAACCATAAGATACTGATGAGAGAAATGTAGATGACACAAATCCAGTCATGTGTTACTTACTAATGGGAATATGTTCTGAGAACTGTGTGGTTAGGCAATTTTGTTGTTGTGCCAACACCATAGAGTGTATTTGTACAAACCCAGCTGTAATAGCCTACTACACACGTAGGGTGTATGATAGAGCCTACTTCTCCTAGGCTACCAACCCATCCAGTACATAACTATAGAGAATACTATAGCCAATTTTAACACGATGGTAAGTATTTGTGTATCTAAACATAGAAAAGGTACAAAAGTACAGCATAAAAGTTCAAAAATGGTACAACTGTATAAGGCCCTTATAAGAATGAAGCTTGCAGAACTGGAAGTTATTCTGAGTAAGTCAGTGCAGCAATACTGAGTAAATGTGAAGGCTTAGGACATTACTGCACGTTCCTGCACACTTTATAAACACTGAATACTTAGGCTGAACTAAATTCATTTTAAAACACTTTTTCTTCAATAATAATTAACCTTAGGTTACTATAATATTTTTACTTCATAAAATTTTTAATTTTATTACCTTTTTGACTTTTGTGATAATAGTGTAAAATACAAACACATTATACAACTGTACAAAAATATTTTCTTTCTTTATATACTTATTCTATGAGGTTTTTCTATTATATATATTTTTTAAACTTTTTTCGTAAAAACTAGGAGACACACACACACACACACACACACACACACACTAGCCAAGGTCCACAAAGGGTCAGGACCATCAAGATATCACTAGGAAATAGGAATTTTTCAGCTCCATTATAATCTTATGAGACCACCGTCATCTATGCAGTTCATTGTAGAGTAACTGAAACATCATTATGGACTGAATGATTAGAAATGGAAATGCTTTTGTGTTCATGGATTGGGATTTAATATTGTTAAAATGTCCATACCACCCAAAGTGATGTAGAGATTCAATCCCTATCAAAATTTCAAAGTCATTTTTCACAGCAAAGAAAAAAAATCCTAAAATGTGTACAGAACCACAAAAGATCTCAAATAACTAAAAGAATCTTGGGCAAAAATAACAAAGCTGGAGGCATTGCACTACCTGACTTCTAAATCTATTACCTAGCTATAGATCAAAACAGCATACGACTGGCATAGAAACAGACACATTAACCAACAGAACAGAACAGACAGCCCAGAAATGAATCCACACATTATGGTCTATTGAGTTTTGACAAAAGTGCTAAGAACACACAATGGGGAAAAGATCACTTCTTCAATTAACGGTGTTGGGAAAACTGGATGTCAACAAGTGAAATTGTACCCTACCTCACACCATATACAAAAATCAATTCAAGATGGATTAAAGATGTAAACATGAAACCTGAGTCAGTGAATCTATGAAGGGACATAAGAAAAATGCTCCTGAATATTGGTCTCGCCAAAGATTTCTTAGATATGATTCCAAAAGCACAGGCAACAAAAGCAAAAAGAAATGGAACTGCATCAAACTAAATAGCTTTTGCAGCAAAGGAAACAACAGATAGAGTAAAGAGACAACCCAAGGACTGGGAGAAAATATCTGCAAACCATACATCACATAAGAGGCTAACATAGAAGATGTACAAGAAGCACAAACAACTCATTAACAAGAAAATAAATAACACAATCAAAAAATGAGCAAAGGACATAAATAGACACTTCTCAGAAAACACTTACAAATGGACAAATGAGAATTTTAAAAGTGCTGGTCATCACTAATCATCAGGGAAATGCAAATTAAAACCACGGTGGAATATCATCACAAGTTTATTTGAATATTATTATCAAAAAGACAAAAGATAATAAGTTGAGGCAGGTATGGAAAAAACTGAACTCCTGTGCACTGTTGGTGGGAAAGTAAATTAATCCAGCCATTATGGAAAACAGTATGGGAGTTCCTCAGAAAACTAAAAGTAGGATTATCATATCGGACGTATATCCAAAGAAATTGAAATTCTTATACCCAAGAGATATTCCCACTCCTATGTTCACTGGAATGTTATTCACAAGTTAAGATATGGAAGCAACCTTAATGTCTAACATCAGATGAATGGATAAAGAAAATATGGTATATATATACACAATGGAATATAATTTAGCCTTTAAAATAAGGAAAATCCTGTCATTTGCTTCAATATGAATGAATCTGGAGAACATTAGGCCAAGTGAAATAAGCCAGACACAGAAAGATACATGCTGCATGATCTCAGTTATACGTGAAATCTAAAAAAGTTGAACTCATAGAAGTAGAGAGTAGAATGGTGGTTACCAGAGGCCCGGGGAAGGGGTGGGCAGAGAAAGAGGAGTCAGTGATCAAAGGGTACCAAGTTTCAGCTGACAGAGGAATAAGCTTCAGTCACCTATTGTGCAGAATGGTGACAATAATAATAATGCAATATGTATTTTTAAATTGCTAAAAAAACTAGATTTTAAATGCTTTCACCACAAAAAAATGATAAGTGAATGAGGTGATAGATGTGTTAATTAGCTTGATTTAATCATTCCACAATGTAAACATAATCAAAACATCTCACTGTACCTCATAGATACATATAACCTTTTGACAAGGTTACTTGTCAAACATAAAATTAAAAAATATATAGTTTAATATACTCTCTCCTTGAATTATTTGATAAAGAAATTTCCAAATCCCATTGAAAATAAAGGTGGATTAAAAAAAAGAGTATTGACTCTCACACTTTAACATACAAAGATCTCAGTATGAGATCACTACAAGGCAAGACAGAACAAGAGCCAATATGTACTGAGCACTGACTGTTGGGAAGCAGTATACAGAGCACCTCCCTTCATCTTCACAACAGTTCTGTGAGGCAGGGGTGGTTATGCCCATTTTACAGATGTGAAAGCTGAGGCTTAAATGACTTGCCTTACTTAAGCTCAGCACATGGATTTAGTGGCAGAAGCAAGGGTCCCAACGGAAGGGATCTGACTCCATAGTCCAGGCTCTTGGCCAGGCTACGAGACTGCCTCATTATCCCTTTCCCGGTTACCAACTGTTGTGAAGATTCAAAGGATGGTGGGGCAGGAGTGAAATCTTCTTGGAGGAGGTGACCTTGTAGAATGAATGGGAAGGCAAGGCAGGATGGAAGCCTTCTTGGAGGAGGCAATCTTGTAGAATGAATGGGAAAGGGACAGAGACAAAAACCAGGCCAGGGTGGGGTCGCCTAGGGGGTGGTCTGACAATAGACTCATATACCAATGTGGATCACTTCTATGCACTGATCCACAACACACCAGGTGGGGCAAAAGAGCAGTATTTTGAGATGGGGCTCAATATACATGAGCTCCTACATACAGGGCCTGATGTCAGAGCTTAACTCTGCTTTATACCAGCTGTGTGTCCCTGAGTAAGTTACTCACCCTCTCCGTACCTCCGTTTTCCCAGCTATAAAAAGGGGCTAATAACAGTACCTACCTTAGAGTGACATGAAGATTAAATAAGGTGCTGCACATGATGCACTCAGCCCGGTGCCTGCACATCGTCAGCTTTCAACAAAGCTAAGCTATTTCAGTGATTACTGGTAATATCTTTCTAATTCCACCATACTGAGCAGCCCTGAAATTGGACTGTGGGGTTAATTTCTCCTTAAAATAAAACACCTTGGGAATTTGGACTCAGAGAATTTCAACATCTCAGAATCATTAAACATTAGATTCCTAGAATTATAGAACCTTCAAAACTTAGAACAAAACACAGTGTAAGCCAATAGCATTTGCAATATTAATTTCCCCCTCAATGCTGCCCTCCTCCTCTCTCTTTGGAGGATTAAAACTATTATTTTGTCAGAGGAATCCTTGACTTCTACCTCCAGAAATACATGTATTATATTTTTTTTGTTTCAAGAAAATGCATTTATGTTCTTTTATCCCCCCTCCCCTCCTTTCCTCTCTCCTGTATGGAGGATATGATGTGATGGGTAAAATATCAAGTGCCATAAGTCAAAATTTCTGACAGAAATAATAGAGCCCGCATCCATTTCCAGCCGTTCTCCAAGTGATAACAATTAAGCCCTGGACAGTGTGAACTTTTTACAAAGAATTAATGATGCATGTGAACACAGGGGGGAGAACGATTGCTAATAATTTATGAAGTCTTCGCTGGCTCAGAGTAGGAAGTTTGGTAAAGTGAGGGAGAAAGCTTTGAAAGGTAAACACTTTGAAAAGCCATTCCGAGGATCTGCCCTGTCAATTGAGAATTTACTACATTCCATTAAACAACCTAAAATAACTTCTATGGTAATCACCCTTCAGATACAGGCGCCAGTGCCGACAAAGGTATTATTAAGTTAAATTACCCTAAAAGTGTTGGATTGACAGAAAGTTTCAGTCAATGGTTTGGAAAGCTGGGGTCCCTAAATGACACCAGCAAACAGATACTGATGTTCCAGGGTTGGAGAACTTGGCTTTACAAGACCCGGCGCTAACAGGATTTCAATTTGAGCTTTTAAATATTTCATACTCCCCCTGCAGCTCTCAGGAGGAGGACTGTGGGATTCACACCCGTGGAGGCCAGGGCCCCTCCTTGCCTCACCTTTCTGGGCCAGGATTTGAAAGGTAGCTCTGGGAGGAAAAAAACAGAGGCATGTGGCAAGGACGGCTTGTCTCTTTGAGGGGAGAAGGGAGCGGTGAGGGGGCATTCGCCAGCTGGGTTTGATTAGAGGAAGGAATTAGGATTCTCAGTTTATAGATAAGGGAAATGAGGTCTGTTACCTGAGGCCACCCAGCAGGTCCACGGCATGACCTGGAATGTAGATCGCTCCGTGACGCCAAGAACTCGCTCTCTCTTGATTCCGATGGCTTCCTGGAGTCAAGTCCAGTTTGTATGTAGCAGGACCCCATAAATATTTTTAGATACATTCAGTTAATATATAACATACATGAAGAAAGATGTATGAGTCATACATGTAGAGCTCAACGATTTCTCCCAAACCAAACACACTCCTGTGTAACCAGCAATGAGCTGAAGACACTCCACACTTCCAGCCCATACCTCGGCCCCCAGCCCCCAAAACGTGCTCACATCCACAAGTCAACTCCCCAGGGGTAACTACCATCCTCCCTTCCAACATGTAGATAAGTTTGTCCAGCTTTTGAACTCTATGTAGATAGACTCACACAGTATGTATGCTTTTACGTCTGGCTATCTGCCTTCTTTTACTCAAAATTACATTTGTGCATTTCATTCAGATTTTTATATGTATTTGTAGTTTGCTCACTTTTTTTTTTTTTTTTGAGACCAAGTATCGCTCTTGTCACCCAGGCTGGAGTGCAGTGGCTCAATCTCAGCTCACTGCAACCTCTGCCTCCCAGGTTCAAGTGATTGTCCTGCCTCAGCCACCTGAGCTCTGGGATTACAGATGCCTGCCACCACGTCTGGCTAATTTTTGTACTTTTAGTAGAGATGGGCTTTCATGTTGGCCAGGCTGGTCTCGAACTCCTGACCTCAGGTGATCTGCCCACCTTGGCCTCCCAAAGTGCTGGGATTACAGGAGTGAGCCACCACACCCGGCCAGTTTGTTCACTTTCATTGACGCTTAGGTTTCTACTATGTGAAGTTACCCCAATTTATTTAGCCATGCTCCCATTGGTGGGCAAAGGGGTTGTTTCTAGTTGGAACTATTGCAAAGAATGCTGCTATACACCTTCTTTTACAAGTCTCTTGGTGCATATACATATGTATTTTTGTTGGCTTTATACCAAGAAGTGAAATTGCTGGATCATAGGACATGCTGGCAAACAGATTTCCCAAACAATTTCATCTATTAAATCTGCCATCAGCACTGTACATTGTTCCCATGACCCACGTTCTCACCAACACTTAGTATTTCCTAACTTTTAAAAAGCTTTTAGCAGTCCAGGCGCAGTGGCTTACACCTGTAATCCCAGCACTTTGGGAGGACAAGGTGGGTGGATCACCTGTGGTTGGAAGTTCAGACCAACCTGACCAACACAGAGAAATCCCATCTCTACTAAAACTACAAAATTAGCCAGGCGTGGTGGTGCATGCCTTAATCTCAGCTACTTGGGAGGCAGAGGCAGGAGAATCACTTGAATCCAGGAGGTGGAGGTCACAGTGAGTCAAGATCACGCCATTGTACTCCATCCTGGGCAAAAACAGCAAAATTTCATCTCAAAAAAAAAAAAAAGTTTTTAGCCATTATGGTGTGTGTCCAATGGTGTCATATTGTAATGTGCATCTGCATTTTTCTGTCAACTCCTGAAACGAAACACACACATTTATTAGTCGCTTAGATATTCATTTTGCTGAACTGCCTATTCAAGTCTTTTTCCCATTTTCCTACAGGGTTGTCTGCCTTTTCATGCTGATGTGGGATTCCCTTACACAGTTTACACATGAGTCATTTGTCAAGTATGTATTTCAGCTATCTTCTCCCACTTTGTTTTACACCTTTTCACTGTCTTCATGGTATCTTCAGTAAACAGATGTTCTCAATTTTAAACTTTAATTTGATGTGATTAGGGATGAATGGGAAGTAAGACCTGCTGGACTAGATAAGCAATGTCAATAGAATTTAATGTGATTTACGTTTATCTATCTTTGGCTTCAATAGATATTTTGGGAGTGAAGGAATGCCATGGGAATGGAAAACAAAACAGAGAGCCGGTCCTATTCTTGTTACACAGGCCTAAAATGAAGAAATTCGATGTTGAATTATAAAAGTACTTCATATGAAAGAGTTGATCTTCTGCACAGAGCCAACTGCTGCCCCTGTGCAAGTACTCATTCAGTCAACACATATTTTTAAGGACCACAGTGTACCAGACTGACCCCTCAGAACGGGAGACAGGATAATAGTGAACAAGAAAACCAAGACCCGGCCGGGCGCGCTGGCTCACACCTGTAATCCCAGCACTTTGGGAGACCGAGGCCGATGGATCATGAAGTCAGGACTCGAGACCAGCCTGCCCAACATGGTGAAACCCCATCTCTACTAAAAATACAAAAAATTAGCTGGGCGTGGTGGCAGGCTGCTGTAATCCCAGCTACTCTGGAGGCTGAGGCAGGAGAATCGCTTGAACCCAGGAGATGGAGGTTACAGTAAGCTGAGATTGCGCCACTGCACTCCAGCCTGGGCAACAGAGCAAGACTTCACCTCAAAAAAAAAAAAAAAAAAAAAAAAACTGAAAGAAAGAAAAGAAAACCAAGACTCTGCTCTCAAGGAGCTTATGTATAGTAGGAGAGAAAGAGCATACATATGTGAACAAGTAGAAAAGAATCACAGAAAGGTATTGATATGTGTCTTATTTATTTTATTTATGTATTTGGGGTCTCACTCTGTTGTCCAGGCTGAAATGCAGTGGAGCAATCTCAGCTCACTGCAGCCTCAACTTCCCAAGCTCAAGTGATTCTTTCACATCAGCCTCCTGAGTATCTGGAACCACAGGTATGTACCACTATGCCTGCCTAATTTTTGCTTTTTGTAGAAACAGAGTTTCACCATGTTATCCAGGATGGTCTCAAACTCCTGGGTTAAAACAATCCACCCACCTCAGCCTCCAAAAGTGCTGAGATTACAGACATGAGCCACCACACCTGGACTAATTTATTTATGTTTTAGAGACAGGGTCTCTCTCTGTCACCCACACTGAAGCAAAGTGATGGGATCGTAGCCCACTGCAGCCTTGAACTCCTGGGCTCCAGCCATCCTCCTTCCTCAGCCTCCTGAGTAGCTGAAACTACAGGCACACATCATCAGGCCCAGCTTGATAAGTGCTAAAAGGAAAATTAAAAGGGTCGTCAGGATGGAGTGACTGGGGAGTGGTCAGAGAGCCCTGTCTGGGGTGATAGTTGAGCTGGGAATGGTGAGAAAAAACTGGCCTTGCAAAGTCCTAGGGGAAGAGTGCTCAGACAGAGGAAATGCAAAAGCCCCGAATGTTTGCGAGTCAGAAAGGAAGGGAGAGAGGTTTGTGTACTCTGGGTGAGGGGAGGTGGAATGGAACAAACAGCTGGATTGGGAATGGCCACGTCATAGGCTACAACTGTGGGGGGAGAATACAACTGACTTTTATTTTACATAATAGTCTTTGCTTCTGTGTGGAGGGTAGATTATAGAATGCTAGGGGACCTACTCAGAAGTTGTTACAATAATTTGGGAGAAGCATGGAGGTGGCTCAGGATATGGTTTTAAAGGAGGTTGCAAGCAAAGACCAGAATGATTGTAAGGGCTGGAAAAAAACTGTGAAAGATCCAGACAGCCATCTCCCTGTGGTTATGCAAATCACATTCAAGCCTCCTGGAGACAGACAAAGCCAAGATGATGTTTCTTACTGTTGTAAAAACCTTTCCTTCTTTTGCATTTGCCGAGGAGTGATTTACTTCCTGTTATGTGGTCAAAACAGAGATATAGACCGGTGGAACAGCACGGGGCCTCAGAAGCAGCGCCGCACATCTGCAACCATCTGATCTTCAACAAACCTGACGAAAACAAGCAATGGGGAAAGGATTCCCTGTTTAATAAATGGTGTTGGGAAAACTGGCTAGCTATGTGCAGAAAGCTGAAACTGGACCCCTTCCTTACACCTTACACCTTACACTAAAATTAACTCCAGATGGATTTTTTTTTTAAAGATTTAAATAAAAGACCTAACACCATAAAACCCCTAGAAGAAAACCTAAGCAATTAAAAGGGTCGTCAGGATGGAGAGAGAGGGAGAGCAGAGTGAGACCCTTCCTCTTCTGTGTGTATTTCACATGGTGAGCTTGCATTCTTCTTTGTCCCGTGGGCAGCAGTTTCTAAGTCAACGATGAGCCTTCCAATCTATAGGAACTTCCCTGCCCATCTAAGGACTATGAACAAAGCCACAATACGCCAGGCATTCACTATGTGCCAGGCATTCACTATGTACCAGACTTCATGCTACTCATCTTCACCTGTGCCATCTCGGTTTACCCTCATAGATATCCTGGAAGGCAGGTGTCACTATCATCCCACTTTACAAAGAAGGAAACTGAGGTTTCAAGGAGTGAGGTCATCTTTTCAAGGAGTGAGGTCATGACCAGGTGACTCTCCACCTGGTCATCTTTTGGTCCTGAGATCAAATGTTACTTCTGCAGGAAAGCCCTTCCTGGCCAAGCCCGGACCAAGCTCGGGCCCCGCTACCGGCTCCCCTAGAGGCTGTGCCTTCCTGACATAACATGTAACCCCTCAGGTAAACATGCCTTTATTTGTGCCGGCATTTGATGATGTCTGTCTTTCCCCACTAGACTCTTAACTCCATGAGGTCAGGGTCCGCATGGTTCATCTTGGTATTTCCAGAGCATGAGATATAGAAGGTGCCTGAAAAAAAATTAATTGTGGAAGAAGATTTAGTCGTAACAAGATGAAGAGGAAGACCATGCAGAAAGAATGAGGATGGTAGACACAGGCTTCATGGCACCTCTTCCAGTTATGTAAGTTTAGAACTGCACAGGGGAAAATGACATCAGTTTCTGACATCTTCCCTCCAGGGGAAGTGAGGTCTTGGTGGGCTTCCCTATCTGCCAGGAGCCATTCTCAGCTGCATAGTTTCCTCCCATTCTCAGCTACAGAAGCCTGCTCTCTGCCACCTGTGTGCCTGCCCCTTCATCCTTAACCCCACTTCCCTGCTGGAAGCCAGAGAAGCAATTAATCCTACAGGCCCCCCACCCAGTGCTCTTAGGATCCCAAGACTCCTGGAAGCCTGGCAGCTGTGTGCATTCACATCTGGGAGCCATCAAGGCCCCCCACCCCAAAGACTGCTTTTAGTGCAGGCTGACCTGTCAGGATGCTCAGGAGGGGGTGCCCTTCCCCAGGGGTCAAGGAGTAGAGAGTTAACTCTGTGAGAAAGCTCTTGTCCTTCCTCCTCCCATGATTGTCTGGTGAGGTTGGGAGCCCACATACCTCCCTCCAAGAGAAAATCAGTTAACTAAAGGCACAGTGAAGCAGACAGTGACCAACCTGGAATTCCAAAGACCAGGGAATAAGGCTTGCCCTGACCTCTAATGTGCTGTGTGACCTTGGGCTACTCACTTGACCTTTCTGAATCTGGGCAATAATGGTAAATCAAAGAAATAAAAGTCTTTATCAAAACTGCTGGAGACATTAAATGAGATATCTCATATAAAGGGCTTAGCACAGTTGCTAGTACATAGTAACACTTAATAAACTGTAGCTATTATTACTTTATAAACATTGTTATCTACAGCTCTTAGAGCTGTCATTAGGATTAAGTGGGATAAGGTCTATAAAGCTTCTAGATAGGGTCTAGCACAGAACAGCTGCGCAACAACAATTCCCATTCCAAATTTGGAGTGCCAATAATTAAAGAGGACCAAGATCTATCCACCATATGGTAGGTAGCTTTCAAAGCGTTCCCAGTGTTTGGTTGGATGGATGGACGGATGGGTGCATGGACAGACTGACAGGTAGATAAGTAAAGCTTAGGTAAAAGGATGTACATCACAGTGACATCATGAATACATGGTTCCTAGTCTTGGTAAGGTAGCAGACATGGACTTCTGGTTGCAAAATGTTGGGTACCATGGCTGCTGGGGGAGATAGTTTGAGACCAGATGTACCGTATCTCATCATATCATCAACTTCAGTGACACATTATAGCAGATCCTTCCGCCCTTCCGAGCGCGCTTTGGACTATCCTCCTTTGAAAATCCCCATTGGCCGATGTTGGTCCTGATGCAGCTATTAACTGAAATTAAACATTCTCCCTCCAGGCAGAATCCTAGAACACTGGGGCTTAAAAAAGGACTGCAGAGATTTTAGAATCCAACTTACTCATTTAACAACAGTAGCTGCTACAACTATTTACAGAGTTATTCCAACTTCTAGGCACTGTGTTAATTATTTTATACATGTAATTGCATTCAATCTCACAGCATTCCAAGGAGCAAAGCATATTCTATATATAATACATACCCGTATATTCCACATATAATTCTCAATTAAACGTACTACGCACTTTTAAATTATTTTTCAGAATGACACAAGGCTTTCATGAAAGCCAGAATGTAAGCAGCTTTTTATCCTAGACCTCCTGATTGTCTCACACTTTTTCTTCCCCCAGTACTCTACTTTTCTAGTGCCCTAAACATGTGCTTAGCCCTTCTTTAAGGTAATTTAGCACTGCCTAAAGACAGACAGTATCACCGTCAGTTAACAGATGAGGGTAAGTGAGTACAAACAGGTTAGGTAGATAGGTTCAGGAAAGCTGTGCAGTTAGCAAGTGGTAGAACCAACTTGCAAGTCCATCTGATTCCAAAACTCTCTCCTCCTCTTCAATGAAACTTCCTTCCTAGATGGGGAAATCAGGAAGCAGCAAAGCAGGGCCTCGAGGTTCAGAGCCCAGGTTGGAATTGCTGGTCTTTGTTTTTTCCACCAGCCAAATTTCAGAGCGCTCTTCTCAAAAATTCACTTGGACTCCTGTCTCCCTGGTGTGACACCTCTCTCTCCAGCCACAGAGGAGCCCTGGGTTCACTTTGTGGCCATCAGCAATAAAAAATGGGTGAAACTTATAATCCCAGCACTTTGGGAGGCCGAGGCGGGTGGATCACAAGGTTAAGAGATCGAGACCATCCTGGTCAACATGGTGAAACCCCATCTCTACTAAAAATACAAAAATTAGCTGGGCATGGGGGCGCATGCCTGTAATCCCAGCTACTTGGGAGGCTGAGGCAGGAGAATTGCTTGAACCCAGGAGGTGGAGGTTGTGGTGAGCCGAGATTGCACCATTGCACTCCAGCCTGGGTAACAAGAGCGAAACTCCGTCTCAAAAAAAAAATGGATGAAACTATTTTAGTTAGATTTTCTCCTCTTGATGGGTGAGAATTTTCCAGGCCTGGGCACCTCTGAAATCTCCCAACGTCAGCCACCATCAGCTGTAACTGGCACCCCTGCTAATAAATTGAGAATGTCACATCTCCCAAACCGCATTATTACCGTTTATAATTTTGATTGTTCATTTGCATACGAAAATTAGTCCTGTGACATGCGTGAATTTTATTTTATTCTTGAACTAATTATAAACAAGAATGCCACATTATTTACATAACTAATTATTGTTCCTTATGTTCCCCTGTTTTTAAATGGGGAACCCATTCTTCGTTGGTTAACTACGGAGATGAAAAATCCAAGAACATTTCTAAAGTTTAGGAACTTGTTCTATTTGCATCAAATACAAATTCCTTTGAATGAGAGATAATATGCTTTCCATTTTAATAGGCCTAAATTAGGTTGATCTTAATTTATAGTTAATTTGAATGAATAATTCCTGTCTACCTGAGTCTGTTTTTTCAGCAACTCATTGTAAATGTTTATTAACCCATAAATCTGCTGTCTTCCTTTAGGAGATTTTAAGCCACCCCCTAAACTGGAGGGAGTTTGCAGAGGGAAAAAAAAAAAAAGGACAAAAGCAGTTAAGAAATTCTGTAATAAGTCCCTAACTCTGTAAGTCATATGCTGTTTGCCTTTGGGTAAATACCTAACCCTCTCTGAGCCTCAGGTTTCTCAGTTGTTAAACGACTGGGTTGAATTAAATGGTACCCAAGATTCTCTAATATTCTGGGGGAGAGGGAGAGGTCTATATGTCTTCTTTGTCTTGCCTTTCACTGTATCTCCTCATTTCTCTTCCTTCTCAAAATTCAGCTCTTCCTTTGCTTAAGATCTTAAATGTGTCTCCACTCATGGGAAACTGCTTTATTTCCTTGGCTACTACAAAAGAGGCAAAAACAGACCCTGCTAAAAAGAGACGTAAAGGGCTACCAAGCTAATGGTGGTACTCCAGGCAGTGCTCAACCTCTGGGAGGACATGAGTTCGGCAGATGGTGTCCATCAAGCACACCATGAAGGCATAAACCACATGCTGTGTCTACAGGGGAAAGAACTTGGAAGTCCCAAAGACCTGGATTTTAACCCCAGTGTTGTCAATTCCTCTAAAAAATACTTTAACCTGTCTGAGACTTAGTGTGTCAGCAAAGAGTAACAATCCAACCTACTTCCCGGGAGACCATTGTGATAGTTAAGGAAGTTAATAATATGAAAACTGCCTCTGATATAGCTGGTGCTCTAATGCTAAATCCTGCCCTTTCCTGCTCATAAGTTGGCCTCTGGCAGTGAGGAAGAAAGGGATAATGATGGTAACTAATGTTTATTGAGTGCCTACTAGGTGCCACTACTTCAGATGTCAGCCTAAGAGTGACACTTCAGGAAAGAATTATCTAACTTCCCTTATGAGGTTAAATTCATCATTGGAAACTGCCAGAGAATGACAGGCAGCCCCTCTCCACTGCAGCAATTACAGCTCAATTTCACCTTTCTTTGTATCATGTCTATCTATACCATCACCCCCACCACCCTGCTTCCGGTAGAAGTAAGAATCATTTCTATTTTTGTCTCCATTATATTCCTCAAGTCCTGGCCAGCCCTCAATATTTGAGGACATAGAGGCTAAGCACGTGTTCTGGATTGCCTTACTTAATCATCACAAAATGGGGTCTGCTGCCATAATGCCCACTTTACAGATGAGGAAACTGAGTCTCAGAAAAAGAAAGTCCAGCTGAGACCAGAAGGACCACCCAGCCTAGCCCAGCTTACCTGAGCCATAAATATTTACTGCCGTACGCTGCTGAAGTGTGTGGTGGTTTCACAGCATTATTGTGTCAATCAATAATGGACACATGTTTGTATATGATTCCGCACTTCACAAAGCAACTCCTCATTCATTGATTCTTCTAAGCCTCTTATTGATTAAGGCAGAGGTAGGAACTGCATTCTTCTTATCCTGGCCTGGGAAGGGCTTTGCATTTGTACAATTGTTCTTCTGCTAAATTGATATATTAATCTGTTCAAACAATTGTTTCTGTAATTAAATGAGAGGGCACTGAAGAGAACCTACAGAAAGGTCTTATTTAGCTCTGTAAGCTGGAATCTGGTGACCTCTCACCCAGGCTATGCAGTGATCACACAGTGGGAATATGGCCATTAATTGGGTGTTTTAGGTACAGACACAGTTGTCCAAGCAATCATAGAGCTAACCGGCCCCAACATTGCCAATGAACTGTGGTCTGCGGCTTTGTTAATGACACATCCTTTATTTTTCTCAGTCTCATTATCTATTTATTATTCAAAGAGGTTTTGAGTTAGAAGGACCTTAATTGAAATGAGCAGCACATCTCACGAGTGCAGACAACCTTTCTAGCCCTCCAAGCTTCTCAAGAATGTCCATCAATATGGAGCTCGCCAACTAAAAAGGAAATGCGACCAAAAAATAAAGCCTGTGAAGTACCCACGTGAGGAACTAAGCTCAT